CTGATAGACATGACGTGAAGTGACAGCTGCGAGTCCACCCTAAATTTCAGCTTGTCTTAACATATTGGAGCCTAACCCTCCCACTTTTTTCCCTTTCCCGCCTCATCCGGACGTCTATCATATCCACATGGGAGCCCAAGTGAACCGTGGAACAGGTATCCTCACTCTTTGCGATCTGATTTTTCAAAAAGATCTGCCGGGTTATTTTCGGGGCCATTTTTCTTCCTTTGACAGTTTCTCAAGAGATATTAGACTTTATTTGCTTAAGTTAATGTGGTCCTTGGGACGTCCGGAGCGATGTGATACGCTGAACCATATAAATCGCGCCTCCTTTCTTCCTTTCCTTCCTTTCGGTTCCCCCCTGATCCGAGACATTGCCCCGAACCCTGTCACTTGTCAACGGAAGCTACGGCTGATTCCAGGAAGCGTTCATTGGATCCCAAATATGAAGACAATTTGCCAATTTTACGGAGCAGGTTCTTTCTTTTTTTTTAACCTTTTTCCTTTTCTCCTTTTGTCTGTAAGTTGGGAAACCGCGCCCCTTCCCCGGGTGAAGTTGCAATTACGGGGTTTGACCCCCCAAGACCAAAATTGACTACAGATCGGCCATCTTGCCGAGTTGCATTTCGATTATAGAACTCTCTCTGCCCCTCATCTCCCCACCTCAAACTGGTAAGTATAAGTGATCTCAAAATTGGAGATCATTCTTGAACCCGTGCAGAATACATATGGTCAGGGGTTCCCACATCAACATTGTACACAGAGACACACGGTAACTAGGACATAACACATACAGTATCTATTTCCAAGTCCAATATCTGTCAAATCAAGTAACCAGATACATGTATAAACACCGTCCATCAAAAAGCAAAACCCCAACCACCCATCAAATCAAATCAAATCCCACCCACCCAGAAGACAAAAAAACCAGGTCATGTACATGCACAATGCACAATACCCTCACCCCCTCCCTCCCAAAGTCCCACACAGGGGGAAGCGGTTATGCAAGCCACGAGCACAACCCCGGTATTTCCAGCGCCTACGACTGGCCAACACGCCCCCAGGCCGATCTCAGCCTGCAACTCGCATACTCTGCACCGAAAAGATTAAAAAAAAGTCGTGCAGCGTGCAGCGTGCAGCGTGCAGCTTCCTAGTGTACATGTATGCAAGGTGTCTGATCACAGTTACAATTGCAGTGGAAGTAAAAGTAAATCTATCCCCTACTGACCTGTCCTGCATCTGCACCTGCACCTAGGGTTCTAGCGACCCTAGCGAGGCGGGGGGTGCACGATTTGGACTCAAGATTTGGAGATGTGCGATGCGCGGAGTAGAAGTCCGTGTGATGTTATTGCACAATCTACATACTTGCATGTCTTGTACTGCAAACCGTTAACCACTTCCCCCCCCCCCCCCCCCCCCCGCGCTGCACACTTCATCGCCTCATCGATGCCCGCGTCCGATCCATCATATAGCGGTGTACCGTATTACGGAAATGTCATCCGATGCCTCTGATGTTTTCGCTGCGCTGTGGTGTTGTGTACTGTACATATACTGTATACGTGCCTAAGCTACTCCACTTGCCTTCCTGCGTTGGCAGGAATATGACATGATGTCTGAAGGCACGAGCGCAAAGGTGTCATTTGTCACTTGTCATTTGTCACTTGTCACTTGTCACTTGTCGCAGCTGGTACATGTACTGTATGTGTGGCTGTGGCTGTTTTTGCTTTTGTGGTTTTGTTTTTTCCTTTTTACTAGCTTGGTGTAGGTTTTCTTGGGTCGGAGCTGTCAACTCTGGATTGGGAAGGTTTTTTTGTGACCTGTCTCATGTCAGGTTGGGGCTTGTTCGGCTGGGCATATGTCGATCGATTATGAGTTCGCCGTCACCGGTTTAGGTCGGTGGGTTTGGGATCCCGCGATTGGGGGTCGTTCTGGTATGGTTTTATTGGTGGTTTAGATCTCCGTATAAATTTAGGTGTCAAACCTCAGTGTTGGAGGTAATCATAGTTTGACCTAACCATTAACGTCTATAGTGGGGTTTGGTATGGGTATCCATCTTGAAATCCATCAATTCTTTTCCCCTTATCCATGGCTTCGCTTTTCTACCCCGTTCCCCCGCTCTTGGCAAATACAAACGAGTGAATGTTTGCTGGCCATATTACTAGAAACTCTCTAAGTATTCCAGGGGCCCACTGTATACGTGCAACTGGATCTAGAGCATCCCTGGTCTGGTCTGCCTGTGTGGTCTAGAATTATATGTTGCAATGAATTTGACAACTATTAAGCCTCAGAAAAGCACCTCATCTCATTCTGTATCCGAGAGCATATTGCTATCCAAGGCGGCATGGCTGTCACCCGTATTACAAAGTAGAGTCTTAGGCATCATGATTTCAAATGTTCGGAGTACGCGGAGAAACACAATATGATATGACAAAGATTCACCGCAAGGATTTTCTTTAACTTTCCTTGCATCTCAATTTAATTTCTCGACAAGGTTCCAAGGTTTCATCCACGGCGTGCCCGACTGCAGGCTGGCAGTACGTGACGACTACTTTTAGAAAGTTATGCTCGGAATGGCCTCTGCCGAAGGTTCGGCTTGGAACTATTGAATCTTCTCATATTACCCCTCCCAGGTGGATGATCGACGGGACCCACCGTTCGACACTTTTTTAGTAAATTCAATAGCGCCGCTTATCTGTCCACCGTGGCATCTTTGACATTGGGTGTTCACTTCTTCTGGAACTTCGCCCGGAGCTTTTCTCCTCTTTGTTGTATCCACTCTTTAGTGTGCATACGGGCTGGCTGGCGCCAGGCGGGATAGCCGAGCTTGTTCCTCATGCGGAATGTCTAGGTACTCACCGTCTTTCGATCGTTTGTAAGTTGTGTGGGAGGAACTTGTGCGACAGTACATGCACGTTTTATTTCATTGAGTTATAATTTAAAATAAATGAGAGATCAATATAAATATATTTTCACGTTTCCAGATACTAGTAGGCATGTATCTCAATATCTATTGCATAAATCTTAGTGTATGCTAGTCATGCTTCACTAACTGACGCCTGTAAAGAAAGAATTAAGAATGAAATATGCACAGTGGAAGCTAATGCACACGTTCATATGCAGAGTGACGTCTCATCCTGCGAGGGGAAAGAAAAGCAAATATGAGCATGATATAAGATCAGGTATATGTATACAATTAGCTGTCAATGCATATGACAGTTCAGGTAGTATATCGCAAACCCCGATATCACACGCCAAGGAGTAGACATTGTCTCGCCAGGTCATATGGCTACAAGCATAATACTCGGTAGGGGATGAACTCTTTGGATACTCTGTAGTCTAACATGTTTGCTTATGATTGCTTATCGATCTTAGTACTGAACATTATTGATTTCGTATGATTTAAAATAAATACTGCTGATGGGGTAAATTCTCCAATGAGGCTGTACATGAGCGATGTTAGAATGCTCTTTAGATGACAGGAGCTTAATCTCATTTCTTTCAAGAAGCGTTAGCTCTTAATAGTCGCATTTCCCTATTACATGAAGGTTTGAGGTAGTCACTGGTATAGAAACAGAATTCGGCGTGATCATAGAGTCTACCTAGAGCCGGAATAATGGCCCTACGCACGATATTAAATGTAGGAAGGGTTGTTTTGTCCGCTTCCTTAGACTTTGATAGCATACCTCTAATACTATGGAATATCCTACCGACTTGTACAACACAGAGCTCGTCGGACATAGCTGCGCCAGAAATCATGATCTGCCTCCAGGGTGCGAGCAATCATTGCCTACAGACAGAGTGAAGTCCTTTATAAACTCATGCCTAGCATAGAACATGAAATGACATGCGTGGTATCGAACAAGCTCTCCTGGGTCTCGATCACCGGCGTGACACTTTTAGTAGACTAATTACTCGTTCTGACTTGGTAATATTGAGGCTGATAGTGGCATTCGGGTCAATCCATCCAGGTATGGTCTCAAGATGGGTCTGTCGCAGCCTGCCGCCCTACTTCCTAACGATGCTAGATGGTGCTTTTCAAGTAGCAATCTTGGCGGGTGAATTTTATATTGGTACTATCATGCGCCGACGGTTCTTGGTGTGTTTGTTAGGAGGAAAAGCCTATTTCCGGATATGTGCGGCTGCTCACATAGATCAATCACAGTGCCATTCGTTGCTATTGCCATTTCTGTCGCGCAGCCCCTCAGGTCGCAAAAAGCACTGTTAGGAAAAAGAAAATACTATCCGGAGGCCAGTGTGTCATTATATATATTGGCGGTAATTGCTTTTTCAAATAGTCTAATGCGATGCACCTCCAATGGAAACAACAAAAGAAACTTCGCAAAGGAAAAACAAATATTAATTTCCCAACTATGAGTCAAATCCACGAGTTATAAAGGACATTACCTCCCTTGATAGGTCTTAACTTCATGCTGGGAGCCCTAAAAGTGGGGCTAAACTCGGTTAAGGAACATATGACACAATTTTCCTCGGTTCTCCAACAAGTAGGCCGGCTGGCCCAATGGCAAGGCGCTTGACTACGAATCAAGAGATTGCAGGTTCGACCCCTGCGTCGGTCAATCACTTTTTGCTTTTTGCTTTGTTATTGAACTATCCAAATAGTCCTGACTTGATCACCAATCTGAACAACGATGGCCTGGTTAATGCGGCGGGCGCATTCCTTTCCATCACAGGGAAACCCCAAAATACACGCACCGTTAACATATGAGCACAAGTCGACCCAGGTTTTGTGCGAAAGTATTGGAAGAATGGCAGATACTTCTATATCTACCCTGCGTACAGTAGCCATGTGGTAAATGCCTGATTTAATTGTAGTGTAACCTCCATAGGTAATGTCCTACATCTATGATTTGAGGTATAATTCGGAAACATATAGTATCAATCAAGCTCATTGATATCGTCCGTGAAATATCATAAAGACTTGTGTTAACTAGTTATATAGAAGATGCCACGGAAGTGAACCACCCCCCCAATGGACGGCATCAATCCAAAAGCCAATAATGATCACTCGCAGCCAGGAGCCGTTCATGCTCAGCCTTCAACTTCCGAGCATCGTTCTCCTCAAACCAGAAAGCCCAGGTGCTTTGAGTATTAACCTCAAGATTGTCGCGACTGGATCGTAATCCAACATGCTGTAATTGTTGCGGAGCCAGCGCCAACCGTGTTAAGCCAGTCTGATCAGCATACTCCTCAATCATGCTATCCGTCTGACCGCTTTTCTTTTCTTGTAGACGAGCTATCAAGGCCGGTACTTGCTCGCGAGGGAATACCAGCCCTTGCGTGCAACATCCTGGCCCATTCATCTCCACTACACCTTCCAGAGGAAGCAGGGAGTATTTACCCATCATGTATAACAGCCCCGTAAATGCAGGAATAACTACCAAACACACGGCCGCGATAGTCCAATTGTTAAGGGCGGGAAGTGTGGTAGGCCAGTGTCGCCGAATGGCTAACAAAAGAGCGCATCCAGATCCCATGACCAAGAGAAATGCCAGAGGCATGTTTCGGTACCAGAAATCCGAGGACGACCACATAAGGGAGGTTTCGGTGTAGAAGAGGCGAAGGTAGATCCACGAATTGTTGTGAGCAGTCGGTCCGTGGGACAATTGGTGTAGACCGTTCATGGTTTTAACAAACCAGCCGTCTGCAAGTATGACATCGTCCTCGAGGATAAATATGTATGGAGCACCCGTTTCGAGACATTGGTTGAGTAGGTAGATGTAATCGCTAATCATGTTAGAACATATCCTCAAGCAGCAGTTCGTATAGCGGAAGCATACTATACACCCTTTTCATAGAAGTTATGCTGCTCTTCTAACTCTTGCAAATGGTGAAACTGCTCCTCGGAGACATTGTATGTGGACACTGAATCCACTAGCCGGCCCAGCCATCTTTGATCCCAGCTGGGATGTTGGGTTGGATCGGTATTTGCAAACAGCACCGATAGGTGGAGGGCGTGTCGTTCTCGAGGGTCTAGATCAACTAACAAAGATCCCACGGTCGCCTCGAAGTAATCGTCCTTGTCGCGTTTTACGGTGGCTAGCGCGGCACACATTAGGGGGCGATCAGTGCCAAACTTGTCGTCGACCCCGCTGTCAGATGGGGCGTTGTATACAGACGTGAAATGCTGAGCTTGATGCTCTCGCAAAAGACTGTATTTCCACTCGAATACATTGCGAATATCGAAAAACGCCGAGTGAGGATCACGCCAGAAGCGGATTCGACAATACTGGAAGGCGAGGAGGTACACGAAACCCGCGGTCAGGAGAATCTTTGCAGCGGGTTGTTTGAGAAGGTGCAGCAGAACATGAAGACTACCAACTCTCATGGTTGCAGTCCTGGTCAGAACAAAAAAGTGAGATCAGGGTCTGATTTTGCGCCCAGAGACTCCAGTGGAGATCAAGCTTAACTTCAATGCACCTCTTCTCCACCCTAGTTGTTTCGAGATAGTATCACATGGGGGCCAAATTTGAGTCGCAAACATTCAAAGTACAGTAATGGAGTTAAGCATAAACCAATGCAATCGCAAGAGCAATATCTTCAAATTAGCATCGAGACGATAAAAGGATGAAGGTATACACCAGAGATCGAGAAATAGCTCCGATGTATAGAAGCGGAACGCTGTGGCCAAATTTCCGGTTTCTCGCAGTCAAGCGGCTTTGGGTCCAATTTCGGCAAAACATCTCTTCTTTTGGCCCCCAGCATCCGGTTGTCAAGCGATGTAAGACAACCAGTAGAGATGAAATTGCCTAGTGGACCTCATCACAGCATGAATCTGTGCGAGCATGATCGACCCATCAAGGATGATCGACGCTATGGCACCGACCTGCAGACTGGTATCTATGATTTGACGGTGTCCATATCTCAAGTAAGCAATACCTAACAACATCTTTTCTCACGCGGCTGATCGATCTGTCTCAGAATGGATCTTGGCATGCCAAGATTGTCGTTCCACTGGAGCGTGGCGTTGGATACTAAGGCTGTATGAACTTTTTGTTATTTCAAACCCACTCGCAGGTTTACCTATTCACAAATGATCAACGCTACATCTGGTAAGGCCTGCACCTGCCTACCCACTGAAAAGATGAGGTATGGAGTATAAACACTCATTTAGCCCCTACATAGTTCCGCACGATCCGGAATCTATAAGTGGTTCCGTTTTTGGGAGCCTGGTCCAGGTAGCTGTGGCAAGGTTAGCTGTTCACAGGGTTCGGGTATTTGATGGTGTAATGATGTGAGTTCCCCTATAATGGTCTCAGGAGGCAATGCTGACACGGTAGTTAGATCACCTTCACCTCGGTTCTTTCTTGTTTTAGCAACATTGCCGACGGGAGGAGTGTGGAGGGACTATCATTCCTCCAATGACCGAAACTTACCCGATATGTCTCCTCATTTGAAAAGAGACAGGGGTTAAAGCATTGCAATGAAAAGTCGTTTTTAGTAGATGAAAATAGATTGGAAGTTCACATGAATCCACATGGAGGAGCCAATTCCTACAGTGGATTAACTAAATCCGAGGGATCCACCGTGGAAGGATTTAGCATCGTGATAAGTACTCTAAAATCACACCAGGGTCTACACTCTTTGGGCTAGACAAATATCCTCCCAATCTATTGCGGGGAATTTTCAGCGCAGGTATACTCCGTTTAGGTATCTTTCCGAGCGGGAATATGAGCAGTCAACTGTCACAATGAGCCTTATCTTTGAGACATACATGGTCTGATGCAGGATGATCATTATCTGCTGGCAGCCAAATTAAAAAGCAAATTGCTTTCGCTAGCCGCCGCCAGGTCATAAGTTGCATAGTTGGTTAGTCCTCGTAAAAGCCTCGAGCTATCTCTCTAGGGGTGTGACTTCATGGCAACCGTTCATTGGCGGGGTTGCTGTCAGACAACCCTGCAGGGAAGATGCAGAGAAGCAAAAATGAAAGCCAGAAAACCTACTGTCGGCCAATGAAGACCGATGTGGTCTGTAGCTTGGCTTGAGTTGACGCTCCGGCGTCAAGGTTTGAGAAATGTGTGGCTTACACTGATGTGCTGGGATTTGAGGTCTAGACTGAATAGGAAGGTAAGCTTCGTGGACTATCACATCATGCAAGAAATCGACGTGGTCCCGTTTGGAAATATTCCAGAAGCATCCCACCCCTGTGAGATGTTTATTATGATCCCCAACCCAAGGAATAAACATTGTAAAAGTTTTGTTTAAGCTCGGCCCAGGTTGCTCGATATTTCTTCCCCATCCAAGCTCTGACCAAGCTCATATATTGATCTCCGCCATATCATAGCACCGGACGTTCGAGATGCACCGAAGCGCTGGGCATTGCTTGATCGGCACTTTCCGTCCGCTTGGACCGCCATGCTAGGTCGACTGTTTACGCAATAACTATATTAAGCGATGATAGTGTGCATAAAACAGCGCAATACAAGGTCACGATAACGAACAAGCGGGAGGGGTGCATACTAGTTCAATCCTCAACGAATGTGGACCAGTCCCTACCCCAGAGTTCTCCTGAAAACCAAGAGAGCCTCGAGTTAGAAACATAAATATATTAACCGGTCTATCCTGACCGCTTTTTCCGGGCGAAAAGAACACTACACTCGGAGAGGCAGGCGCTAAGCCCCTCTGCATGAAGTTATATTGGCTCTAAGTGGATCCCCGAGAAGCAGGAAAAACCAGGCCTCGGCTGAGTCGTATATGTTCTCCCGCATCACCACTTAGAGTTGCGCGATTAGCAAAATGTTCTGCCTAGGGTTCGCATACCTCCGGGTCAAAATTAATTCCGCTAACCAGATATCTATCATCATATCTTCATTCTTGATATATATGCGCATACTTCTATCCTTCTTTTTTTCTTCTTCTTTTTTTTTTTTTTGTTTTTTTCCCTCTTTCTTTTGTTTCTTTTAGGCATTTGACACGAGGCTGATCATGAGACTGCAAGCTTCCAACCTCCTAGGCAAACTGAAAAGGAGATGGATAAGACTAAAAAGACACTAATGCATTCGCCGGCCAAAGACCCGTCGTTAGCCGGAATTAAAAGTTACAGTGTCGCATTGCTTTCACCCTCCAATCCTGATAGCCACTTCTTTGAGACAGTAGCACATGCTAGCCAATTGTCCCGACTTGCCTCCACTCCGTTGGATCCCCTATAGTCCTCTCCACTCAATGCTCATTTACCAATGCAATTGCCAAATCAATGTAATGCATATCTCAGACAAAGCCAGATAGGAATTGCCGGTTTTAGATAACAAAGCGTTCCAAACGAGCTCCAAACAGGCAACATACCAACATACTACATGTACTGTACACACTCTAAACCCCTCTCCAACGGTTCTCGTCGGGGATATTCCGTAGCCAATACTAGTCTATCAACCCCTCTCTGTGCTGAAAGTCTGCAGTAAGCACCGGCCCTCATCACCTTTCTAGAAGCCGCCGAGAGATATCAGGATTGGTGGATGCGTTTTCGATTACCCCAGGTCCGCCAGAAACGGGTTCAAACGTACCTGCGCAGGCGGAGTCGATATCGTCAGTACTCATTTACTTGTCGCAATTGGCTATAGGCTCTCTCGGTCCAGCGATCCGCTTTTATAAGGCTTGGATCTCCCTGATAGCAGAGAAATGATCTTCAGGCCTTTAAAACTTGGCTTTCCGAAGGGTCCAGTTGTTGATCTATTTCTCTCTTTCTCACTTATTCGGCATAAATGATCCAATAGGCTGTACTCAACCAATGCAATGACGCGAACTGGCCCTTCAAATAGCACCATCTCTTGGGAGACCAAGAGCGTTGCCCCTGAGGAAGGCAACAGAATTGACTCGGTCGCTGGTCACGATGCGAGGCCCAAAGGGCGCATTCGTCGATCCATGACGGCTTGTAATACTTGTCGCAAGCTCAAGACCCGATGCGATGTTGATCCGCGTGGTCATGCTTGTCGCCGCTGTCTATCCCTGAGGTTTGTGAGGCCGTTTTCTTCATTTGCCACCCTTGTAACTGCCACATATTCAACTTTTGCCCTCGCGATCGCCTTATACTCTCCAAACCCTCACACCCAAATGCGCCCGTGAATTTTGTACAACAAAATCCCATTCCCGGTTGCTTTATATACTGACTACTTTGTTTAAAGGCTCGAATGTGAACTCCCAGAGACATCAGAGCGGTTCCAGGACAATGCATCAACCTGGTCCGATGCCACGGCCGTGCCCTCGATAGAGGAACGGCTTGTCTCTCTTGAACGAGGCATGGGGGAGATGATACATTTAATGCGGCAAATGGTTGATCGTCCCCCCAGCATGTTCGGCAGATTAAACTCGCAGCCGAGGAGCGGCAGTATAGACGAGGCCTCGAATGATAGCGTGTCGGCATCATTATACCCCCTGAAGCCGGCTCAGCTCATTCGAGACCTCCAAGCTGAATGTTTTGGAGAGAGAGATCACTTCTCCTCCGACGATGATATCCTTGGGGATATAGTAACTCAGGGTATTGTAGACTCTAAGCTCTCCCTGAAGTTGATTGAACTGTACGTTTCATTTTGTCTCAGATGTATGTTCCTGCTAACATTGTCTCAGATTCGTGGAGTATTTCGGCCATTGGGTTTCGATAAGCCACTCGTCCAGCATTCAGCGATCAAATACACTCTTATTCAACACTGCGTGTCTCCTTGCCGCGCGGTACCTACCTGGCTTACCACAGCATACTGTCCGCGATATCTCTCTCCACGTTCAACATGCCGTGGCTAAGATGCTGTGGAAGCCCCCGCCCCTGACAAGCGATATGCTGCAGGCATTGACATTGCTTTGTCTATATTCTACCGCGATTCATAAAGAAGGACTGATGGATGACTGGTTACTGAGCGGGATCTCAATCAACCATGCCCTAATTTCCTTCAACTTCCTCAATACTCTCCCCAGAGATAGTATCAACCCCGATGACCTATTTGCCCAGCTGCGTCTATGGAATACGCTCTGTGCAACCCAACTACAGTATGTCGTCGTCTTGCCAACCCAAGTACCCAGTCTAACAATGAACCATAGCTCAGCCCTCGCAAACGGCCGCACCGTCAACATCCAACAGCAACATATGGACCAATGCCCCAGGATCCTAGAACATGCAACCGCCACCCCTGAAGACGGAAAAATCGTTGCAGAGATCCAACTATATCGTATAGCCCTCAAGCTCCAACACAGCCAGCACCGCCTCCAATTCGCCGAAACCGAATATGAAGAAATCGAGCGCTGGAAAATGGAATGGGCCCATCTCCTAAGTAAATCCTCCCTCCCTCTCAGACACTATCCCCAAACCACCCTAACACAACCCCCAAGCAAACAACGAAGACTCAACCCTCGACCTAAACCTCTGGTTCTGCCAGCTCCTCCTACACAGAACAGCAACCCGCCTCCAACCAGATAGCGACCGCCTCACCCCGGAAATCTGCGGCACAGCCCGCCTAATAATCTCCAAATTTCTCCAAACCCGCTTCAGCACCGCGCCCAGCCTAATCGACCACGTCTACTTCATAGTCGGCTACGCAGCTTTAACACTATGCGACTACAACCTCACCGACCCGCTAATCAGCCAAGTCCGCGGCTTCCTCCTGCACCTCGCCCCAAGCGGTGACAACCTGCCTTACCGAATCGCCTGCATCGTAGGCGAAGTGCAGCGCCGCTATTCCGAAGCAACGGCCGTCGTTGCCACGGCTGCTGAGCACGCTTCTTTGCCTTCTTCTTCACCGATTGATGAGAAGGGCGTGCCGTTTTTTGGTTCCGGTCCTGGTCCTGGGTCTGCGCAGCATCAGCATCATTCGCATTCGCATCCCCAAGGACGGAATATGGACTTGTCGCAGCTTATGCCTGGTGCGGAGGTTTTGGATAATCTTGTTGAGGGGTATGGGTGTCTTGATCAGTTGATGCCTGGGTATGGAGGTACTCAGGCTGGGTTTGAACCGCCCGCTTTGTTTCAGCATCATTCGGCTCCTGTTACTGGTGGGGCTTTGCCTATTGGTCTTGTGCCTAGGGCTTTGCATGATTGGTGATGATGTTATGAGGTTAGGATATGGGATATGGATATGGATATGCGTTTGGATTTGGATTTGGATTTGGTTGGGATTGGCGATGGATAACGGGTTTGGTTTTTCTTCCTTTTCTTCTTCTTCTCCTTTCTCTTGGACATAGATGTTATTCGAGTGGGTGAGGTGGTAGTGCATTGTCTTGAACTTGTGTCTCTTGGAACTGGATGTAGGGTTTGTTTTCCGGTGCATGGTCCGCAAGTATAACCAAAAGTATATCAATTGGTCCTATATTTGTTCAACGAGAAAAAGAATAAATGGTGCATGTCAAATTGAACTGATTCCTATCCTCTATCCTAAGCACACAAACTCGCTCCCTGAATCAGCGAAGAAGGGTACAAAATCCTCGGCTGTCCCTTCGCCATGGGAACAGGAACATTCCCACTGCTATCAACAGTCACACTAGTACAAGTGATGATTTCCATCAACTTATCACCAGCCTTGAACTCTGTGTCAGGAAGCGAAAGTGTATACGAGCTTCCACTCTCACCAAGGTTTGAGAGAACAGTGATTGTCTGAGAGCCGCTGTAGCCTTTGCGCATAGCTAGAGTGGTGTCATCTTTGTAGATCGGATAGTTCTATGAACAATGCCCAGTCAGTCTATATAGATCAAAAGAAGAAACTAACGAGTGTTGAATCCATACCTTGTAAGTGGTATACTTATCACTCTTATAGATAGCCTGATTCCGAATTGCATTCGCCTTCGCAATGAGCTGGTATAATTCACTGTTGGTGTTGTACTTGGACAACCAGGTAGCCTCGCGATTGTTCGGGTCGCTGCCTCCGCTGTAGTGTTGTTCTTGTCCGGCGTAGATAATTGGAATACCATCAGCCATGATAGTGAAGGCAGCGGCATTCTTGGCGAGCGATATGTCATCAGTGTAGCTGTTTTCAAATAAGCATCTATTGAAACAGGAGTACGGATCAAGTCCCACTTACGAAGCAAAGCGTGGGTTATCATGATTCTCCACGAAATTCCCTAGCAGAGTCGAGTCGGCGCAGGTTGACTTGACGGTGTTGATCATGTCATAGAGATCACTCATGCTACCGCTTGTGGATTTGAAGGCTCCGAGGAGAGGGTAATACCTGGATTTGAACAATTAGACAGGAGCTTATGATTGAAGCTGAAAAGTGAATTCTCACATTGGGTAGTTGAGCAACCCGTCCATCACCTCCTGGTAAGGACAAGTATAATGGGCGTCGCCGTCAAAGACCTCGCCGATGCAGTACACACCAGCGGCTTTGTTGTAACCTGACCAGAAGCTCTTTTCGACATGTTTGACTGTGTCAACGCGGAGACCGTCGACTTTGGTAGTATCAGTATTTGTATCATTGAATGGGAAGATGAATGCTCACTCGAGTAGTTAGAAACCAATGATCCAACCCAGTTGTACCACATACTCTGGACGTCTTCACTGTCCGTATCGAGATCAGGTAGTGAGACAGTCGTATCACCGAGCCAGCAGTCTTGCACATTGGTTTGGTTGTTGTAATCGTTGACCTCGCAGTAGGAGTGGAAATATTTCTTTTCATTGAATGGATTAAATACGGCGTAGTTGACTGAATCCCCAGAACCATCGTAGCCCTTGAAAGATACAAGTCAATACAAACCGAGAAAGCAAGATCGAGAGCTGCACAGAACGTGGATTGACTAACCATATGGTTGGCTACTACATCAACCATGAGATACATTCCCCGTTTATGCAGAGCTGAGGCGAGGTCCTTGAGATCATCTGCCGTGCCATAATGTGAGTTGAGACCGTAGCTTAAGTTCTGTCAGTAATGTTGCATATTCACGTAAATTTAGTTAGTCCACTTACATGTCTTGCTGCCAGTAGCCATGATAGGCTTCACCATACTTGGTGTCCTCGGGCAATTGGGCTGTTACAGGAGTAATCCAAATAGCCGTGAAGCCCATTCCCTGGATGTAGTCGAGCTATATGAATCGGTTAGTGCTCTGGTAACAGTGTTGACGAATGTGTGTATCACAAACTTTGTTCTCAATTCCCTTCCAGGTTCCACCGCAGTATCTCTATTCGATAAGAGTAAGCAAGCCGTTCATTCTTATTGAACCTCCAGAAGTCATACCCTCATACTCGCATCACAACTCGCCGTAGTCGAGCCATCCGTCCGAGCGAAGCGATCAGTAAGCATGAAGTATATCGACTGCGAGCGCCATTGATCAGGAGTAGCCGCAATAGCAGAGGCAACCAAGCCGGCAAGCCAAGCCAAGCGTAAAAGGACCATAGTGTATAACTATGGACACCAAAATCAACGAAGAAAGGGGCGCAAGATAACGCTAACAGGATAACAAAACAATAAAAGACGCAGCAAACAGTTCTATATAACAAAACCCAAGCAGTAACCACAAACCAAATGAAGAAAATCCCCAAAGAACCAATTAACGAAGAAACTGATCTCCGAGTCTAGCACAACAGTGCCCAAGAGCCAATGAAACAAATTAACATCCCCAGCGCGTGTAAATCCCCTTTAAATTCCCGCCCCTAGACAGATCATTTGAAAAGAAACTTAACAAAACAAGAAAAAGCAACAAAAGCCATAGTCCCCAATTAATTAAATCTAAGCACTAAGAATTGCGCGCCCATAAGACGAACCCAACTCCCGATCCTTCCATGCCCTTTCCACAACTATAGTAGTTTCTTTCACAAGTATAGGATACGAGTCTATAAATTCACATGTCATGAAGGATGATTAGTCGCGTTACAGCCCGTGGGAAATTAAACATCCCTGTCAGCATTGGAAACCCCTGACACGGCCGGTCGAATCAGCGTGCAGAGAGGACTTGGACTTGGACCCCAAATTTGCAGGGTTGCCAGATGGAGATGGGGTTGCAACGAGACGCGGATGTTGATCTTTTTTGTCGGGCTTTAGTCGGAGCTGGTTTTCTACCTGGCTGGTTCGTGCGATGTCGGATGGGGCAGATTATGTCTTTCTTTTTTTTTTTCGCTTTTTTTTTAAGATGTATCGCTTTACGCTGAGAGGATGTATCTATGGGGCTGAAAATGAGTCCTCTATATTTAGGCCGACTTTGCAATTCAGTCCGAGACTGATGATTGCATCTCGATCGGGGATCGGAATTTATGGATGTTCATGGGCGATTTGGCAATGCGATCGATCGGTGGAATACGAAGTGTTTCTTGCTTAACCTTGCTCAGTTAATTAAAGAAGAGGCCCTTGTATGGGATCCAATATTCTACAGTGTAATAGTTAAAGAGATAGACTCAGAGTTGCAATCTATATGCAGTCTATTGATATTGAGGTCCATAGAGTATATAAGAGCGACACAGTTTTAGCACCACTTCAACAGACACATTAGCCAATACTTTCTCTGAAATCAGATCTACCACTTAAGCACCCAGCTCTCACTGAAAGCACCCTCCTCCGTCAACTTGTCCAAACCGCCAACGGACAACACACGCGCCGTGGCATTGTACCGCACAGAAGAAGCAGGGACAGCCTTGCCATTAAGTGTAACAGCACCAGGCTTTTCAGACACACCCAGGACAGTAACGTTAGCTAGAGGATTCAACTCCTTCCAGTCACCCTCAGGGTGAGCGCTCAAACTCGAAGTCTGTGCCTTGAAAACCACATTTAGCGTAGCATCAGGCTCAACACTCTCTCCATCATCGATATACAAATCACCGGCCGCGGTACCATTGGTAGAAAGCGCAGTCAGGAGCGACCACGGCGTGTTCCGCGCGTCCTTGGTGGTCAATGCCGGCTCTTGCATGGGCAGGACACTGCCACCGCGCACAAAGACGGGGATATGGCCCAGTGGGGCTGGGATGGTAGTGTTTACGCCTGGTTCCGCCTTGACTGCGGTTTGGGTGTACCAGTCGTACCAGATCTCGCCCTGCTTGATGCCCGGGAAAACACCTTTGACGGTGGTCACTTGGGGTGCTAGGGCTGGGACGACCATGATGGACGGACCGAGTAGGAACTGGGTGTCGACCGCGGCTAGGGAAGGATCAGTTGGGAATTCCCAAGCTAGGGCGCGCATGACGGTTGAACCGGTTGTGTGCGCTTCGTGGAAGAGGGTGTAGAAGTAAGGGAGGATGGCGTAGCGGATATTCATGGCGGTTTTGGTGGCGTCGATAACCGATTCCCAGACATAGGGTTCCTGCGAGTTCGCTGAGAGCGTGTTGTGGTTTCGGTAGAAGGGGAAGAAGGCGGATAGTTGCATCCAGCGGTTGCAGAGTTCTTCGTCGCTATTGCCGCTGAAGCCGCAGGTGTCGACGCCGAACATTGGGATTCCGAAGAGTGAGAATGAGAGGGCTTGTGGGATTGAGAAGAACATATAGGCCCACTTGGAGTAGTTGTCGCCGCCCCAGTGACCGGCCCATTTGCCGGAGCCGGCGAATGTTGAGCGGCCGATGATAAAGGGGCGCTTCTGATCGTCGACTGCTCTCAGGCCGTTGTAGGTGGCGTTGAGGATTTGGTGGCCGAAGAGGTTGTGCACGTCGTATTCCTGGACCCCATCGGAGTGAGTGGCATTGGGAGACACGGCGTGGACGGCCAGGTCATGACCGGTCTGGTCGTGGTTGAGCACATATGGCGGGTAGTTGATGTCGCGCACTCCAGCAGTGGGTGTAGTTCGCAAGTAGGAGACGCTGGAGGACGGCTCAGAGCCACTTGTCGCGGCCGCAGCTTGGCTTGATGATGCCGACGACGCGGAAGCAGCCTCGGTCTTGTTCGTCAACTCGAATCCTTCGGGATAGTCGTAGATCACATTGCCAGGCTCTCCGGGCAGGGTGGTACCGTGGACGGGGTTTAGGCTGAGGTTGCCAGATCCGCAGCTACCAGTACAGAAGGAAGAGACTTCGCTCATATCAATCCAGATACCGTCGATTGCAACCTTCTTCTGGTAGGCTACAATCTCGTTCGTCCAGAAATTGCTTGTGTTAGGGTTATGCCAGTCAGGGAAAACTGTGTATCCCGGCCAGACAGCTCCAATATATTCACTTCCATCGGGGTTCTTCAAAAAGACATTGTCCTTGTGACCGCGAGTGTAGGTCTCGTAGCTGGATTACTGTCAGCAAGATGTTTGATTTGAGAGCACACAATAGACTTACGCATCAGATTCGTTGTTAGGATTCGGTATGTAGATGGCAGAGTCGATAATAGGAACGTAATGACGGCCACTATTGTGCAGCTTGTCAAGGAACTCTTCGCCCTCACTGTAGGAGTAGCGGTCCTTATCATTTTCGAAGTCACGGTAGGCATACATATAATCAATATCATTCCTGAATAGATTAGCAAACTGCTCGTACCAGAATGATGAATGAACCAAATTACCAGATAGTCTCAAGCGGGATTTCAAACTTCTCGAAGTTTGAAACGACAGTTTCAAGCTCCGTCCAGTTCTTGTATCCCCAGCGACACTGGTGGAAGCCAAGAGTAAAGTACTGCTGCAATGCAGGCAGTCCAATGGTGCTCAGTTGGTAGTTCTTGGTGACATCGGCCTGGGTAGGTCCCGAGTAGAAGGTGAGATCGATGCTCCCTCCGAGAGTGCGCCACTTGAATCCCTCCGGCTGCATGATTACTTCCTGACCATGAGCGTTTCGTGAAAAGACACCATGCGAGTAGGAGACATAGTCCTTAGACTGATCAGCCTTGGTACTTGCGACCAGGGTATGGTCGCCCTTGCCGTTGACCTCGTAGTAGCGGGTGTCGAGATAGAAAGGATGAGACCCATACACATTGCTGATGGAAGAATTAGTGTCAAGGACAAAGAGGTCTACCTCAAATACAACTTACTCGTCGATTGGGTCACCCTGGTCTGACGCATAGAGAGTCAAGGTGAGGTTGTCCAAGAGACGCAGCTGCTGAAGATGCTCTCCAATACCGTAGAGGTTGTAGTCTTTGGGCAGAGAGGTCACAAATTCGATAAACTGATCCTCAAACACCAAGCGCGAGCCGGTGGTATCAAAAATGGCATCACCAGTAGCCTTGCGGGTAACCTTGAACTGGAAGGAAGGCTCATTAGACCAAGTGATCTCAAGATCGCTATCCTTCTTTGAAGCATGCTCATCCGACTTGGCTCGAGGGACGGTGTTCTCATCCAACAAGAACCAAGAAGCATTCGACGAATCGATGTAAGTTGGGACAATTTGAACGTTGAGTCGATCATTAGCGAGGTACTCAACCGACAAGTCCAGCGAGTCCACATCGGTACCGTAGGCATTGCATGCCTTGCCAGCCAGCTTCAGAGTGGCGGTCAACCCCCTGGGAGACTCCTTCACATTGGATGCCTTATACCCAGGACAGGCCGACTGGGCATTAATAGCATCAGGATCATCGATATTGGCAATCAGGTTGGCACCAACATCCGCATTAGCAGGCAAACTGAACTGGGAGTATGCAGCAGCCGAAGTAGAGGTAGCAGAAGTAGAAGCAGAATGGGAAGAAGCCTTGGAGGCAGATGTAGAGAAAGCACCGTAGGCAGCCGGCACAAGGCAAGCACCCACGATGAAATCCGATAAACCAACCATGGCAACCGATTTCCGAGTCAATTGTTGAGAAGAAAGGCTGGTTCTTAGCAGTGCATGTCCAACCTGGATCGTTCTTATAGTTGCTCGGAGCACGGGTCGCTGCACTATGGTACAACAGTTGCAGGTTTGCCCGAGAATTAGACCGATATCCCGAGACCGGCATGAGAATGAATCTCCGTTGATTTTCCGATATTACGAAGGGAAACTGGATATGCCGAATCGCGTCCCTTCCCGAGTGGCTGAATGCTTTTGCGGGGTGAGGCGACTGAAGCTGGGGCTGGACAATGTGGAGATCGTCCCTTGCGTTGGGAAGTACATGTAGTGCAACCGGAACGCTGTGTGGACAGCGCGTTGACCAATGCAGACCAGAATGGAATCCAGGTGGTCTGTACACTAACATCGCCCATATACAGTTGGAGGAAATCGTACCCTATCAGAATTTCGCCCTTCTTTCACCGTTTTGAGAGTCGTGTTCCAAGCCATCATTCAAGGGGTTTCAAGCTCATCTCCCACAGTATGAAACTGTATGAACGAGTTAATGGCAATCTCATAATGTCTCTGGAGAAGAGTCCAATGCCGTTGTCAGTCTGATTAGGCCATCCATATGGTATAGCCGCAAAGAGCCCAAGGCTCCAATTTTGGGGCTCTGAAGTGCCACAATGTCATAGTTCCACCAATACTCTTCTAACGTAGCAGTCGGCAAAATGAAGTCAAAGCAAGTGAGTAGTACGACATAAAATGACGATAAGTTAATTGGGATAATCATACATCCACAGCGAAGAGAGTGTCGATCACCAGATTTGTGGCCTGTGATTGGCTAATTGCCCGATAAATGTCCGTCTGGCAAGTCAACAAGCTCTCGGACACGATGGAATTGGCATCATAGGTGAAATGCCGAGCTGCGGTGAGTCTTTTCTCACTAGTGGAGAAGCTTATAAGCACTCGCCCGGGAAGCAAAATGCGAGAAACCTGGAGTAACTCTGGAGCTCTGCTTTCGCTGGAACCTCGGCTTTTTTCTCTGGATATCTGAGGGCCAGTCCCACTTCTTCAGAAGCTATGAGAGAAGCCACTAAAACTCATTATTGAATATGGCATGATCCAAGGAGAGGGAATCCCGCGAATGTCCTTTTTGCTGCCTCTCGGCTTCCCGAGGGAAAGAGATATTGCCGGCATTTCCAGAGTCAGATCCAGAGCCAGGGCCAGAGCCAGGTCCAGAATATACTGGGTCTACTGAGAAGCCTTGAAGAAGTTGATTGGAAGAGGGATGACAGGCCACTCGTGGAGCGAGCCGAGTGTCCACTTCATATCAATCAGGTTAAGCGGCGGTGGAAAATCGCGCATCCCATCCCAGTTGGCTTACAGTCGGAGCCCTGAGATGTCAAGCATAGATGACTCGGCCCATGAGGGCATCAGATCTCGACCTGGAAAGGGGCGTATATCTGAGTGTGTACGTGGTGTGGTGTACATGTACTCGTATACCGGATCAGTCGGAATAGGAAGAGGGAGTAGAATGAGGATGTCAATCACGGACCTTGTAGACCATCAAATCAGCAGAGAACAGGCAGAAACATGCAAGCGAACTCGGGCCGACACTGCCCCTGATCTCAAGATTTTATATGAAGAAGTGCAGGGGCCTTGCGGGGGTTTCCACCCCGCCCTTCCCCAGGTTCTGTTAAAATGTCGAGTTTTCTATCTTCCCTTCTCTAACAGCCTTCAACAATGGACAAGCCGAAACAAGCGTGCGACAACTGCCGCCGCCGCAAAATAAAATGTTCCCGCGAACTCCCCTGCGATAAATGCCAACGGCTCCTTCTGTCGTGTTCCTATAGCGATGTCCTCCGTCGCAAAGGACCGAAATTCCGAACGCTTTACCCGCTGGCTCCCGTCAATCCAGCCCGCGACGCCCCCGAAGGGTATCCCGAAAAAGATATCCCATACCGATTCGAGTCTCCCATTTCACCCAATATCGCCGATTCACAATTCGCCAGCCAAGACTTTTCCGATCATTTTTCACATCTACCACCGGAACTCGTTTCGTCGCCAGGATCGACAGATTCAACAGTCGAATCGGCAAATGGATATGCACTTCCACATGCGAGACGTCTCTCGCCACAGATTCTGCTCGCGCATGTTAATGTCTATCTGAAATATTTATTCCCGATCATGCCAGTCGTGCGCGACGAGCAGCTGCGTCTGGATAGCCACCAGCCGGCACGGCTGTCGCCAAAGCGGTATGCGTTTCTGGCGTCTCTCTGTGCCGCGACGCATATCCAGTTAAAGTTGGATGGCGCCGCGCCGGTTCCAGATCCAGCTCGATTGCAGAGCCTCGGGGATGGTCATTCGTTGATGTCGGGTGAAGAACTCTTGGCTGAGGCCGTGCGGGCGCGGCGCGACTGCGATGTTGTGGAGGGGTTGACTACGGAGTCGATGTTGACTTCATTCTTTTTGTTTGCCTCATATGGGAATCTGGATCGGCAGGATCATGCCTGGTATTATTTATGTCAGGCTACCTCGATGGCGTTTACGCTTGGTCTACATCGTGAATCGACCTTTGCGGATTATGGTGTGGAAGAAGCCGAGGAAAGGCGACGCATATTTTGGCTGTTGTTTGTCACGGAGAGGTGAGTGGATTAGATGGTGGATGGCGTGGACTGATACTAATCTGAGCGAAGGGGATATGCTCTTCAACAAGCCAAACCAGTCATGCTGCGCAGCTCGATTCATAAGCCACAGGTGCTTGGCTCGGAAGATCCTATCTTGGCATATGGGTTCATCAACTTGATCAACATTTTCGAAAAGCTCACACCAGATCTATACGACTGGTTATCGGCCGGAGGTGGAGATGGCATTTTGGAGAGACCACCGACTTCCGCAATCCAGTCGGGTCTATGCAAAAATATCTCACTGGACGGAGTGCTTGAGATCCAGCAAGTTGATATCTTGATCACGCAGCAATGGTTGCAAGCAATGATGTGGAAATTGTCCATGAGTCATGCCACGCAACCTGGCTCCTGCGACGATGCAGTGCTTCCATTCCACCTCCCAGTGATGGTGGGCAAAGCCGTGATGGGTGTGATCGGTGCTGCGTCGCAAGGGGCGGTGGATGCCCATGGGATTGGAATGGTAAGTTACTCCCCGAGACTGAGACCCCTTCAATTGCTGATTGTGCCACAGGAACAGAAACTTTTCGACATGGGTGCCTCTGTTGCAGATGTTACACGATCTCTAGGATCAAAAGCCGTCCAACGACTAGCCGAGTCGACAATCGACCCGAACGAGTTGCTGTGGGGAATACTTCACACGCTTTCCCAGATTCGTGGCTCGCCTTCATACCTCTTGCCGACATTACTGGAGCGATGCAAAGCCGTGCTGGGGCTAGATGGCACCATCAACACGGGGAACTTCCTGCCTATCCTCGGTGCTGCAGTGCCGGATCAGTTGGCTTCGTGGTCAGGCCAACATGTTTGGGATTACTCTGCTGGCTCAGAGGATATCCGCGAGATGCATGAGGTCGATCACGACCAAAGTGAGTCGGTGCCACGGGAACTTGGCTTCCAGAGCTGTCTGTTGGGGTGATCTTCTGTCGAATTGGGATGCGGGTTGCATCATATGATACCACTGGAGTTTATAGATGGATATTTGGGATGAAGCATCATTGGAATTGGATATAGAGAACGCGAGCAAACAAACCATTCAATAAAGGTCTTGCAAGTACATCGTTGTAAACAAGTTACGAAGAAGTAAGAGAGTGAATCATGGATGCACTATCAGAAGCCGATGAAGAGGGAGAGAGGTAGGAAAGAGAGAAGGGAAAGATCCTCGAGAAGTAAACAAGGTGCTATCATAGAGCCTGAGGCATTAGACTTGACCTCAATCATGGTAGGTAAGAGTAGACGACATTTGTTTTCAGGGACGCTGGTTGGTCGACGGGGTTGGGTGGGAGTGAGCTGGAGCACTGAAATACCTCTGGGATATAAAAATAACCTACGAAAAATCATTCTGATTTGAAAGAATCCTACGAGAGATTAATTTTTCAGACACCGAAAAAGTTAAAAATCAAAAATTTTTGGGTCAAAATGTTCATGATTTACCGTTGTCACCAGTAAAATGTTCACGAAATCCGACATTTAGGTCCCCGAATTTTTTTGAAAATGCCCTTTTTCAAAGCGAAACCTACGAGAAAAATAAAATCAGAATAGGAAAAAAGCACGAAAAACTTTCTCAATATCAAACTCTATCTCCGATGTATGACTTCTAAGTCAGATAAAGTTCGTGAGATGGCACTTTTTACCATGTTGAATGCTTTGTTTTCTTTCATTTTTAAAGTTTCACAGCTCTATTTGAGCAACAATTAGTCCCAGGTAATCATTCACTCTAGTACATATCTAATAGAGTGCATGTATTTTGATGTAGTCTGTTGTTGTAGTCCTCTCTACCACGTGACTCGACCCTCAACGGCCTTGGCATGTTTGTTTCGGCATCGGCGAATCTCCAATTTGACGATCAGCTTCATGCGACTTCTTTCCCAATTGCTCGCGACAGCCCATATAATGCTCTACTGGTATATACTCAATCGCACTTATTGCCAATCAGCACATGGAAAGAACTAATTGTTCTTGACAGAGAACAACCCGGGTTTCGCATCATCCAAAGCTCCCAGAGCCCCAACCCTCTAGAGCTAATTCTCCATTACCCTCACCACCAACACCTCGACACCCAAAATGGCCTCCCTCCGACCAAGGACAACTCCTCTCCGAGCCCTCCGCTCAATTCAACCACTCTCAAGACCCTCACCACTGAAATCAACCCTCTCCGCAAACCCAAACACTCAACCGGCAATCCAAACCCCAACCCCAACCCGCAAACACTCAACATCCTCCGTCTCAGCCGATGAACTCTCCCACTTCTCAGGGCTGGCCAGCTCCTGGTGGGACCCAATGGGCCCCTCCCGAATCCTGCACCTAATGAACCCCCTCCGACACGAGTTCATCGCATCCTGCCTAGCCGAAGGCTCAACCGAAACAACCCCTCCCCCCTCCCCCTCCACCCCCAACTCCGCAACCTTCAACTACCTAGACGTCGGCTGCGGCGGCGGCATCTTCGCCGAATCGCTTGCTCGCACGATCCCCCTGGACCCGAACACCGCCGCGCCAACACCCACGCGCGCCGCTTCAATGACAGCCATTGACCCGTCGACGAATCTAATCCAGATTGCGCGCGAGCATGCGCGCATGGATCCGACCGTTGATGCGCATTTGCGGAGTGGGAAGTTTAAGTACTTGAACACGACGCTGGAGGATGTACTTGCCTCAACTCAAACGCCCGAATCAACAACCACCACCACCACCGCCACCACCACAACCCACCCCCAATACGACATCGTAACCCTCTTTGAAGTCCTCGAACACATCGATCCCAAAACATCCACCCCCCTAACATTCCTAACAAACTGCCTACGAGCCCTAAAGCCAGGCGGCTGGCTAATCGGCTCAACAATCTCACGCACGGTGCCATCGTTCATCCTAAACCAACTCATCGCTGAAGCGCCGTGGCCTATCGGTGTCGTGCCGCGTGGTACGCATGAGTGGAGCAAGTTTGTTAACCCGCCTGAGGTTAAGGGGTGGCTGCAGGAGGGTTTGATGAGGGCTGCTGACACGGGTGTTTCGAGGGGTGGGGCTGGTGTTGCAGAAGGTATGAGTTGGAAGTGTGTGGGTGCTGTTTATGTTCCTGGGTTTGGGTGGAAGATGGTTCCTGGGAGTGAGGATTGGGGGAATTATTTTTGGGCTGTTAGGAAGGGAGTTTGATTGTGTTTGTGTTGGGTGTATATTGCATTTTGCATTTTTGTAGGGATTGTATATTAGAATTGATTTGTTTGTTTTATTTTACGTTGCTTGAATACGTTTTGCTGTTATGGGTGTTGTGAAGACGGAACCTCTTCTTGATATTGATATTGATATTGATATTGATATTGACATTTAACTTATAACTCATCCAGTGTACTTATACACACATACTATGTACAATACAAGGCGGGCCTGTCCGAAAAACAGACCAAGCACAAGTACAAGTCTTGCTCATAACACATTAACTCCGAACAAGAAAGTGCTCACATCCATAAACAAACAAAGAGAAAAAGGAGGTATACTGCTTGGAGTAGAAACACACAATAAAGCATCGATCTATCTCTTACCCTTCCCTTTCCCCTTCTTCTTCTTAGGAGGATCAGGAATACTAACCGTACCCTCAGTAACCTCCTCACCCTGATCCTGCAAGCGCTGCGACCCACTAATAAAGAAAGTAAGATCGCGATTCTGCTCTGCGAGATCGGCATTCGAAGCCTTCAGACCCTCAACCTCTGCAGTGAGAAGATCAAGCCGCTGCATCATATTTCCATTCATAGATTTCTCCTCTTGCCAATTCTTCTCAAACATACGAGCCAGAGCCTCGAACTTGTCGGCGCGTTTCTCGGCGCGGGAACGGTCGTGGTCTAGCGAGGGGATTGTTTCTAGCGAGAGTGTATCATATTTAGATTGGAGGTCCTCGAGCTGGGAGGAGGCGGTGTTAGCGGAGATTTCTGCTGCGACTGCTGCGGCGCTGGCTTGGGAGGCTTTGTCAACGGCACGCTCGACGACTTCTTCGAAGTAGGCGCGTTGGCTTTCGAGTTGGCTGGTTAAGAGGTGGGTGTATTCGACGCTCATGTTCTCGAGTTTCTCGCGGGGCACGGCGTCACCCCAATCTGGTGGGTCGAGAGCGCTGTGGTCTGCTGCTGGAAGTTCGACGAGCTTGCCGTCTGTTTTGCTTTGGATGATGCGGTGGACGTAGGCGTCGCCTACATAGTCCCATACTCGTTGCGTGGTGAGATCCATTGAGAAGGCGTGGGCTGTTTCTTTGTAATGTTCGAAGGCGTGGGCGCCGTCATAGCGGCCGCAACCGACAGTTCCGCAGATTAGACAAGCCCAGAGGTTCATGTCCGCGTGGCATACTGCGCATTCTTGGGGTTCAGCGTCGGTTTCAGCGTCAGCGTTGCTTTTGCGGAAGTCGTCCTGTGTGTACCGGCAGATAGGGCAACCGCTGCCTTTCCATTTCTGCAGACAGGTGCAGTGAAAGACGTGTTGGCAGATGATTGTAAGTAAACCTGTGGTCTCATCCATTCTCTCTAGGCAAACGGGACATGTGGGCAATTCGATCAGGGCGGGAGTAGGCGGTGCGAGAGGTTTCCCAGTGAGAGTCGCCTGCCCAGCAGACGAAACGGGAGGCCGAGTAGGAGTCGAGAGATTGGGCGACAACAGAGCACCATGCTCATCCGGCGAGAAAGCAGCTGATGGTTCCGGTTCCACAACCTGGATCTCAACCGTCTTAACAAACACCACATGGCAGGTTTCAGGCTAGCAAAGTCAGTCAGTATAAAACTCTCTCTCCAATAGCAGGAATCCAAGAATGGCGACATACCTCCATACTATTGAAAACCTTTCCATTCCACTCCTTCTGCCACTCAACCGCCTTCCTCCCACTCCGAAACTTCATCAAAACCATATACCGATTCGCACGCGCAGTCCTAATCATTCGGAAATGACTAACCTCATCTCTAGTCTCCTCTCCGACGAATCCCAGAAAGTCAGGAGGCGACAAATAAGACGGCACAGCGAGAATGCACAGCGTAGTACAATCCTCATCAGGATGCAACGCGGACGAAGAAGCAGTCGCAGGGAATGGATACGCCGTAGCGCCCGCAGCAGAACTGCCCGGCGAAGCAACACCCGGCAAATGTCCTCGTAGCGTAGCCTGCTGCTCGCCCGGGTTCCGCGCTGCAGCCGCGGATCCCTTTAGGTAGGTGGGGTAGTCGTCATCGCGGGCGAGGTAGGGCGTTTCCTGTGTGTCGCGGTAGAGATGGACGATTCCCCAGATGCTGTCGGTGACTTTTTGGTCGAGGGGGATGTAGCGACCTTTTGTGCGCAGTCCGCCGAGGATGTCGGTGCCGATTCCGGCTGCTACTAGGTTCTCCGGTTCTTGGGCGGAGCTGCGCTTTGAGCTGCGTTTTGCGGGGTCCTTTGGTGGGGTGACCATGTCAATGCACTCTATTGAGACGGCGTCGAAGCGCTTGTCCCTTTTGAGGAGTGTAGGTGTGGGTTTGGAGCTTGGTGAGGTGGAGGTGGAGGATAAGCTGTCTGGCGAAGAGCGGGAGGAATTGGTTCGCGGTGGGGTTGTTGTGACAGGTGAAGAGAGGGTAGAGGGATGCTTTTGACGATGCGCGAGAGTTTGCTGTGTGCTCAGTGCCTGGTTGTCTCCAGCGCCTGTCCCTGATATTGGTGACAAGCGACTGGAGCTTGGAGACTTGCTTCGTTGGAACGGTTGGAAAGCTTCCCTTGCAGAGTGCAAGGCCAGAGAGGAGCCCGCTGATGCCAGGCTATCTGGATTGTGCGAGAGGACCTGAACATTTATATGATAGAAGTAAGCGGGCATCCCGAGTGATGGGATCACATTGCCTGTAGGTTCGAGATGTTGAAAGTAACAGTGATGATAACGGCTGATAAGGATGGGCTTACCTAATCTTGGATATCCTGAGGTCGGGGAGTGAG